CACACACACACACACACACACACACACACACACACACACACACACACACACGCGCGCGCGCACGCGCGCGCGCGCGCACACCCCCCCACACTGACAAGCACAGTGGTTCAAACCAGCCTAAGGGACGTAATAACCACAAAACATAATTCTACTCCCGGTTACTGCCCATATATCTTTGACAATGACAATCTGGCATATTGCTATTCCCCACAATTTTAAATTACTGGTTCATTGTTGTTTGCGAAAAGGGCAGAATGATTGATGGTCGTAAAAACGTTGGACTTTAAATGACGATAAGTAACACATGAAATATAATTATCACACTGCACGATGTAATGCCCTTTTAAAAACAATGATATCTCAGTAATAGTAATATTCGCAAATGACAAAGAGTATTCTATTCTGATCGGTCCTGCTGTTTACAGGCAACGAAAATGGCGGCCTGTGGCACATTCTCTTGTCTTGTTTTCCTTATTTTTTCTCTAACAGTTTGTTATTCGCAAATACTACCCGATTTCACGGACTATGTACAAATTGAGAGTTGTGCTGATGGTACTAGTCCAGATCAACCTCGATATTTCAATGCAGTTACACTCAAATGCGGCAATTGTAGGGCAAATAGCACTGTTCAGCGAAGAAGCGCCAACGGTAAGCTTGTGTGATCATGCCTCCGCGTTGCGCTGCAGCATCGATTTCAGCTGTTGACTCTGGCAATAATGTAGTAATACTTTTTTAATGAGAGTATTGTATCAATACTGTTTTCAGTGCACTTGAAATGATGAATATGGGTCTACTAGTGTAGGTAGTTTATTTTTAGACAGATGAGATAGACTCTTTCTTTAATAGTCTAGACTAGGCCCTAGATCTAGATTTAGCTAAGTAGTGTCTTTACTTTAGTATTGGTGACACAAAGAGAGAGAGAGAGAGAGAGATTCATGAATGATGAATGGCATTGGGGAGAGAGAGGCCATTGTAAAAGTCTACAAAGGATCATGACTTCACTACTCACTACACATAGATCTAGATTAGATCTAGTTAGGCCACATTTTTTTTTGTACTTGGCCGTCGTTATTCGGACTCGAGTCCGAATAACATTTTTTCATATTCGGACTCGGTTCCGAAAAAAAATATTTCGTATTGCGACTCGAGTCCGAATATGAAAAAATGTTATTCGGACTCGGGTCCGGAAAAAAGGAAGTGTCTTCGTTCTATAGATCTAACGTAAGTGCTTCCAATTTTCCGCCATTTTTTAGTTTCCCCCACACCTTATCTGCCGATCAAATGCCCGCCGCCTCATTGATACGCCCCCCACCCCCCATGTTTCCCACTTTCTTTGTTGTAGAAAAAGGTAAAATTGAAGATAAGCAGACCTCCTTGCACCTGCATATTATGAGCTGTGTAAAAAAAAAAGACCGATTCGTTCAAACACACAAAAGTCTGTGTCATCTCGATTGTTTACCAAGAAAAAGTTGTGTCGCTGTGTAGAGCTGAGCATACGGCAACTTTTGATTTCATAGACCAGCGCACAATTCATTACGTAGATCTACGTCAAGACTAGCTTATTATTGTAATTTAATGATCAGTTGCCAGGGGATAAAAGACAGACGTGTTTGCGACGTTCAACGCCCGGACCGATCTTTAGTCCCAAGAGTAGGGGGGGTTTCCCCCCTGTCCTAATATAAATATGGGGGGGGGGGGGGGTTCCCCCTGAATTTTACCATAATTTGATGTTTTGCAGTTGTTAGGTTTGATCTTAGCTCGCCGCACATCAAGCGTATAGATCTAGATCTAGTAAGATTTAGATTTAGGCTCAAATAAGGGGGTTGGGAACTACCGAAAAAGCTGCCATTATGATCCGGGTGGGAATAAAATTTTGGACGACTATTTTATCCGAACGTTTGGGAAAATAAACTTGAACTCTATTTCTCCAAACAGTTTACGTTCTCGAGATTTGTTGGTTATTTGCGAATGGAGTGGCCCGTGTTTGAGTGTTTGTGTGAGTACGTATCATGTGTGTGTGTGTGTGTAAGGTGTGAATGGGG